CAGAGCCTCCGTGAAGGACTGGGGTTTTCTCACTATTGATCTTAGCATTCCTTAGTTTGATGCTCGGGATCAGCACAGTTTCCCTTCAGCAGCGCTGTGCCCAGGGCACACAGCCAGCCTCCGATGATTCCAGGGCCTCCTGGGGGACGAGGGTGGGATTTGTGCCCCCGGTAAGCTGAGAGGCGGGTGTGGGTTTGGGGTTTTAGGGAGGGAGGTATCTGATTCCTTCGACAGGCAGGAAAAAAACTGTGAAAGTGTGAGGTTGAGTGGCCCCCGGCGCCGGCCTCTGCTGGGGACGAAGTAGCGCAGCTGTCTGACCCCGGGTGAAAAGTTCAAATCTGCATTTAAAAAGAGTGCCAGGAACCCCCCCCCCCTCCCCCAGTCAAGTTGAAACCGTTCATGTTCTCCAGGCTCTGGTCAGGCCTTGCGCCGGGATATCCAGCGGCTCCAAATTCCTGTCGGCCTGGCCCCCCGGGGGTGGGGGTGGGCTCCCCTGGGACGCACTTCTCTGACAATAGTTGCTGCGCACCAGGCGCCCCCCACCCCGCCTGGACGGAGAGGGAAGTTTCTTCTTCCGCCAGACGAGGGGAGTTTAACCCCTTTCCGCACACGCTCTTGGCAGGGCCCTTCCTCTTCCAGCGTCCTCCTCCCTCGAAGGCCACCATGGGCTGTGTGGAGGTGCACGCAGGGCTCCAGGGGACCCTGTTGGGGGGAGGGCGGCAAACTGATACCTGGTGGCGCAGGTTCCCTTTCCACGGAGGGCATGGTCCCCTGGCTTGAGCTGGTGCTTTAAAAGGCTGTGCTGGGTTTCTGTGGGCTGAGTGTGGCAGTCCTCCCCTCCCCCTCCGTGCCGTCCTGCTGTCTCCAACCTTCCACGGCCTTGGGGAGGAAGTCAAGATGGGCTGCGAGGGGTCAAGGAGGGCTCAGGCCTGGGTGGGGGGGAGCAGTGGGGGTGGAAAGGGAAGCCTGGCCTGCTCCTCGCCTTCAGCCCCGAGAAGTGACAGAGAAGAGACAGTGTCCGCCTTCCTCCCCTTTCCCCATCCTGCGCCAACTTCCCCCCTGCACCGAGGACTGTCTGGCCATTGCCCTGCCTGGAAACCCCTCCACTCGGTCTCTGATTAGTTCACTTCAACGTTTAGGTGACTGTAAACAGTTCAGCCTCTCCGATTTTATGTCCCTAAAGGATCTGTGTCTTGAATGCAGACGGGCTTTGGACCCCTGCGGTGTCAGTGACTTTCCCCACCCTCTCCCAGGGCTAACGGGCAGGTCCCTAACCTGCCCCGAGGAGGAAGATACAGCCCTCTGCAAGCCCCAGCCGGGACTAGGGCCCGACTCCTTGTTCTTTTCCTTTGGTTCTGATTTAAAGAGTGATGTTGGGAGGCCCCTATCTGTAGGACTGAAAGTTGAAAGTTGAAGGGAGAAGTCTGGTGATTTTGATTTCTTGTTTGGGGAGGAAAAGAGAAGTTTCCTGTGTCCCCCTTAGTTTGTCAAATGTGCTCGTGGATTTTGACTCCTTGGTTAAACTAAGACCTTAGCACTGACCAGGTTGCTTAGTATACCTCTGTTCCATTTTGCCTGTTGTCTTGTTTAAAGGATAATTAGGAACTTAGGCTTTTAGATGCCCCCCCCCCCATAAGAAGTGTGGCGAAGGATCTGTTTGGTCAGTGTGGCACATCTCTTTGCTTTCACCCTTACCAGGGTGGGACGTTGGTATTTGGTTTTTTCCTCAGGGGAACATGGGAACTCAAAATGTTGAGGGCCACACGGGGTCACTTTTTCCACAAGTTTCCAGAATGCACGTTCTGTTAGGGAGCAGGCATTCCCTCTGAAATCCCAGTGCCCTCACTTCCCCACTCCCACCTCTTCCTCCACGCTTCCCCCAACCGGTCGCAGTCAGGGGTGCCCTTCTTTTTCTTCTTCTTCTTCTTCTTCTTTTTCTTCTTCTTCTTCTTCTTTAAGATTTTATTTATTTATTTGATAGAGACACAGCAAGAGAGGGAACACAAGCAGGGGGAGTGGGAGATGGAGAAGCAGGCTTCCAGCGGAGCAGAGAGCCCGATGCGGGGCCCCATCCCAGGACCCTGGGATCATGACCCGACCCGTCAGGGCAGACGCTTAATGCCTGAGCCACCCAGGCACCCCCAAGGGCGCCCTTCTTTGTAGCCAGAGGACCACTGTAACCTGCGGGGGAAGGAGGGGGCCATCATCTCTTGGTTCATTCACCTTCTGGATCATGCGTTCAAGGCCTGGGCAGTTCTCTCTGTTTGCTCTGGTGGCTCGGAGTCCAGTCATGCCATCACAGGGGCATTTTAATTAGCAGTGCCTTAGTCATTAGTGAGTTATTGTTTTTGTCTGGAAACACTTAAGTACTGTTTACTCGATGTCTCAACGAAATGCAAAACAGCAATTAAGCAGAAATTTGTTGTATGAGGCAGGAACCAAAATGGATTGTCAAAAGCAGGTTGTGGTTCCTCCCAACCAAGTAAAATCGCTTTTTTCCTTCAGCCTCCCAATAACTGGATTGCTCCAAATCCTCTATGTCTTCATGACCTGCTCCCTAGAGTTGTCTGATAGAAATACTCAGGAACTTTGTCTTCTCATGTCCTTCCTTCACTGGTATGGGCATTGAGGTTTGATGAAGCGTTAATGGTAACCCCCCCCCTTTTTTTTGGTCTGCTACCTGGGATGTTTCAAAAACCCTTTTCAAATGAAGATTAGTTATTTGTGAAAACTTGCGCATGACTTCCGTTTATAGAACTTGTACATATTTTCTTCATAGTTTTTGAGATCAGGTGCCATTGTTAGTCTGATAAACCCTTCTTGACCTCCTGAGAGTGTTGAGGCACTGGGATAAATCTCCTTTTTCCTTAAAATCTTGTATGGGTTTGTGGAAGAGAGCCTAAGGCTAAGATGGAGCTGGAGAGGCACTAGAATGCCAGAAAAAAAAAAAAGGTCTGGGGGATACGTGTGTGCATTACCCACAACTTTGACAGGAACCCAAAGGAAGGAGCTGCTCCTTGTGGAAACAAACAGCCCGCTGCTTTGGCAGGGTTCTCATCCCCCAGAATGCAAGGCTATGGATAATGCAATGGCAGGAGAAGACTGAGGGAGCTGTGTAAGCGGGGGGCGGAGGGGACAAGTGAACTCTGAATTACATCATGTCGGCCTTCTTTCCAGGAGACACGTCCGTAATAAAACTGTTCGCACCAAGTTCGTCATTGGAGACCCTGGTTTCTCACTTCTTAGGCTCTTGTCTCACGCTCCCTGTCTCTTCTTCTTTTTTTTTCTCTTTTCCCTTCAAACAATATCTTCTGACTTCCAGATTTCTGATAAATTGATAAGAGGCATTGCGTGAGTCAATAGAGCTGTAGACACTTGGCCAATATAACCCCGGCTCTATTGATCTGCCAGTAAATTAAAGTCTTACTTAGAGGCTGCCGATATTTCTAATCTCCTGCTTCACCAATTACATCGTCCCAGCTACCTGGAAAGGGGACTTGAGCCTTAGAACCTTTTTTGTTGTTGTTTTACCAGGGGACTGCTGTCCTTCCATGGGGTTGGGGGCGTTTGCTTTGCTTTAGAAAGGGGAGCGTGGAGGAAAATGAACCTGCTTAGCTCCTTGTATGGGATCTATGTTCATGCCACAGGTTCATTCCTAAAAAATTTCTGGAAAACAAATTCCATCAAGGTGGTTCTGTACATCTTATAACAAGTCTGCAAGGCTGCTCTTACCCTTGGATTTGCTCCAAGTTTGGCGATAAAGTTGAGAGTAGCTGCTATTGGAGATACCCTGGTGTCTTTTATGACTGTCTCACTTTTTATTTATTTTTTTAAGATTTTAAGATTTTTTTTTAAGATTTTACTTATTAATTTGACAGAGAGAGACAGAGCGAGAGAGGGAACACAAGCAGGGGGAGTAGGAGAGGGAGAAGCAGGCTTTCCGCTGAGCAGGGAGCCTGATGCTGGGCTCCATCCCAGCACCCTGGGATCATGACCTGAGCTGAAGGCAGACACTTAACGACTGAACCACCCAGGTGACCCGACTTTCACCTTTTAAAGAAATGTTTTATTTTTTTCAAGTAGTCTCTACACCCAATGTGGGGCTTGAACTCACAACCCCGAGATCAAGAATCGCATGCTCTTGTGACTGAGCCAGCCAGGTGCCTCACCTGTCTCTCACTTTTAAACATTGTTCACTGACAGTTTTTCTCTCGCACTGGGAGAAAATGGGAGTTTTTGTTTTGTTTTGTTTTAATTAAAAGCTGGGTTATTTGTGTTTGTCACTTAAAAAGAAACGCTTGAGAGTTTGTGGAAAAGAAGAGATCGGAGGGGCTGCCCAAGATATGAATGACTGGAGGCATGCTGCATTCTCATTGGCGCAGGGGAAAGCGGGAGAGAGAATCCATTGCTTTGTCCTTTGTAACTTTTGCCCATGGTGCCCCTGTTGTCACTCCCCTTTCTGCCTCTTGCTTACTGGTTTGAAGTTGAGTAACAAACAACAGCTTAAAGATGTCCCTGCAGGAACAGTGGAGCTCATAGAGTTCTCTACCGGGATGCCCACTTTCCGCCATGGTGGTTTGGGCAGATCGTTCCTCTGATAAGCTCCTTTCAAGTCCCATTTATGTGGTTGGCTTCGAGAAGAAATCTCCAGATAAATGCTCTGTTCTAATACTCCAGAGCAAAAAAATCAATGGGAGGGATAATTCTTTCCCTTGTCCAACACACACTTCAATGTGTTTCTACCTCGAGCGTTATTCAACTTTTTTTTTTTTTTTTTAAGTAGGCTCCACACCCACTATGGGGCTTGAATTCACAACACTGGGATCAAGAATCACGTGCTGTACCGACTGAGTTAGGCAGGCATCCCTCAAAGTTTTTTTTTAAAAACAAAACATTCAGCCCTGGATCCCATTCTCCAGCACTGTGAGGAAGGAAGTGTTGGGAAGTGCCTATATACCACTTACTAGAAAGAACAATGTAGACCCTGTTCCCTGGGAGTATTTCTGGTCTTCCTCTGTCTTCTCCCTCTCTTCACTTCTCAAGTGGGAGGGTTGATGGTGAGCTCAGGTAATGTGGGAAGCTTGCCAGGGGGTTCATCAACTGGCTGAGTTGGCGGGGGGAGAATGGAAGGTGCATGGGGGCCCAGGAGCAGGTGGGAGGCACTGAATGGCCTTCCCTTCTTAGCCCAGGCCTTGCAGAACTGCCAGAGGGCCGCTAAGATGGCAGCATGCCTGAGGTGGTGAAGGAAATCTCCTTCAGGGTGGGTTAGGTCTCCTTGCTTCCGGCTGGAGATAGCCTCTCCACGCTTCCCTTGGCTCCCTTGGTCTGAGTGAGTGAAGGAGATGTTAGACAAGGAGAAACCCCAGGAGGTTGGGATTGACTTTCCCCTTTGTTTGGATTGCATTGTGTTGTAGGAGGTGTTTAAATCTTGTTCACACCTGTCGAGGCTGAGGCCTGGCTTTGAGAGCAGTTTGTAACAAGACTTCTGTTGTTGCCGAAAAGGTTTCTAGCTCACAACAGAGGAACTTTATTGTAGCAACTTGTTAATGTTCAATTAGGCAAATTCTGGGTGCCCTGGGGCAGTGGAAGGGCGTGCTGACTTTTCCTGGCTGCCCCAGCCTCTGTTCGCAGGGATGGCGCGGGGAGGAGCTAGTGTGTCCGAGGGCTCCTCCAGGGGCAGCTGGGGTCTCCGTGGAGGGGGGGAGCCCCTCTCAGGCGCTAGGTATGGGACCGGGTGCAGGCAGCAGCTCTGACTCCAGCTCCGTGCCTTCAGCTGTAGTAGTCTTCCCCTTTGTGTTGGCACTTGCTGACTCCCCGGTCCATGGGTGGGGTGCTGGCTGAGGCTCACAGTTTGCATATGGGTTGCGAGAGGGGAGAACCCCGAGTCCAGTGTGGGGCAGCTTCAGCATCCCGCTGCCCCTGGCCCCGGAACCCTGTTACCTTTGGGAATCTGAGCCTGACTGGCCACACCTGGGTCTGTTCTCCGGCCTCCTTTCTGGCACGATTCTTCTTGAATGACCGTCTGGCACCTTGATGGACGGTGTTTTCCACTTTCTGGCGGACGGAAGTCTTGCGACTGTGGAAAGGGAACGCAGGAAGCTCGTTTCTCGAATAGGAGGTTTGACTTGGAGGTGCCTGTGTTCTAACACATGAATGTGTCGGGCTGACAGTTGTCTCGTCACGGTAGAAGGAAGTGGGTATTGGAGCCTGCGCTCCTTTAAAAAAGAAACAGAAGGAGAAGCTCGGGCCCAGCCCCATGCGTCGTCCCCAGGCCCACGGGCAAGGTGCACATGGGACCTGTAGCCGGAAGGCCGAGGCAAGTGGGTCTTTCCCTCCCCACGGTCGCAGGGTGTCTTCTGTCCTGGCAAGGCCTGGCTATAAAATATTGTCCCCTGTGGCAGCCTCGCTCTATAGTGTTGAGCGATGAGGAGTGCGGGGCACCCGGCAGTGTATTAAACACTAGTTGAGCGCAGGAGGGGCAGTATATCACGGGAGAGAGATAAGCAAAGTTCTCTGATAGTGGATCAATAAAGGTTAGTGACATCATATCTCAAAGTGAGGGAACCTGCTTTCTGCACAGCCATTTATCAGATCACAGTCCGGGAAGGGCATTAACCCCTTTCTGGCCAGATTTTTTTTTTTTTTTTAAACTGAACACAGACCCAAACTCTCTCTTGGTGAGGGAGGGGCCAGGTGTCAACGCGTTCCCCCCCCCACCCCCAAACACTGTATTTAAGGAATCTTCCTATACTGGTTTTTGGGAATGCCTCGTGCAGTTAGCATATTAACCCAGCAGTGGCTCAGGCATGCGCCATGTGTTCGTGGAAAGTTTCTTGACTTTGAAATTAGTGCAGAAACGCTCATAAAAAGTCAGCGTTTCTACTGAAGTCTTAAGACTATATCCACATGTTACGGGTGTGCGGCAGTATTGCCGTCGGACACCTGGGGGCTGGGGTTTATGTTTGGGGTTTGATGGCAAGCAGTTGGACCGGACTGATTGTTAAAATTGCACTAAGCTAGAGAATGGCCCCAATTTGTCTTTTTTTTTTTTTTTTTTTTTTGCCATTGTGGAGCTCTAGACATTGACCAGTCCCCCAGTGGTTGGGGATTGGCAGACCACTGCCCGTAGGCCTGTTTTTATATGGTGTGTGAGCTCAGGATGGTTTTTTATGTTTTTAAGTGGTGGTGGTGGTGGTGGGGTGGGGGGGGTGGGGGGGCTCAAAAGAAGAATGATATTTTGTGACATACGAGAATTGGTGAAAATCAGGTTTTATCAGGGAACAGCCAGGCTTGTCCGTTTCCGTGTTGTCTCTGGCAGCTTTCACGCGGCAGTGGGCAGAGCTGAGTAGCTAGTGCAAAGGCCACGTGGCCCACAGGGCCGAGAACATTTACCTGCCTCTTGACAGGGGAACCAACCCCTAGTCTAGGTTCTAATCTCAGACCGACTGCCAACTAGTTGTGTGACTTTGGGTAAGTCACTTTCTCTGTTTCACTGGTCTGTGTAATGAGAATCTTGCCCCTTGCCTGCTCTGGGGTGTTCGGGAAATCAAGTGAAAGTGGATGAAAATGGCTAGCATTTTGCACAGCGCTTATCACGAAGTCAGCAGACCCTCCGGAATGTAAGCCTACCTGAGGCTGTTAGGCCGTGGGGCTCTTCCTCATACAGACCTAGTGCCCAGTGTGATCGCAAGAGCTTCTCTGGGGGTTGTGTACCTTGTCTCCTTCTTCTGTCGGGCTGGGTGAAGTTTGAGTCTCTTGGACTCTGCAGACTTGAAGGCATGCATCTTCCCGGAGCGAACATCTTTTCTTTGGAAGGGACCATCCGTTTTCCTCCGCGACCGCTGAGATTTTTATCCTTAAAGACTTGGATCACTTTTCTTTCCTTCCCAACTGGTGATTTATAGATGGAGAGTCCAGGCCTTTTCCTGGAGGTCTCGGACTGTTTATCTTTTTGGTTGGGCCCTGACAGTGTGCTGGCTGGGATGTTCACATTGGCCAGGGTGTTCGGGGGCGAGATGCCAGTCGCAGGGCCCAGGGGTGGTTGGGGGGAGGAGGGAGGCAGGAGATTCCAGCCCAAAGCTAATGGGCTGATGTCCAAGTGGAAAGTGTATTTTCATTGAGGAAGTGTAGGTATTAGTGGAGCCTGGATTACGGTGTGATTGTGCTGTCAATACTGCCGTATTGAGTCCGTGAGAGCCCGCACAATACAGGGAAACACTTAGCTCACTCCTGCTGCTTATTGAGAAGCCAATAGCAATTTACGTGCTGACACTTGACATCAAATCCATTCCCAGAGGTGGAGCTCTTGCAAACTACCAGGGGAGCTCTCTCCCCTTCCCAGGCCCTGCCCTACCTTGGGGTCCGCCAGTGTGTGGTCTGCGGGGCCAGGGGCTGCCTCCCGGCTGGGGGCAGCAGCAGGGCGGGGTGGTAATGGGGAGATGGTCCTCCTGTTTAACTTTCATAGCCAACAAAGCATTTTCTTCTCTTCGTAATCGCTCTTGTACTTGTCTTCTTTCAACAAGTGCTAAATGACCCTCTCTTCATTCCTCCCCGGGGTGTGAATTTTCTGCATGTGGGAACTTTCTCCTCCTCTTTCCATAAAAAAGTTTGTTCCTTAAAAATGGATACATGAGGAAATCATATGTGGGAGAGAGGCGAGGAGTGTCTCATCTCCAGGAGATGGGCGGGTGTCTGAGGGAGCAGTAGAGGCTGGGAATGTGCTGGGGGTGGGGGCAGGAAGGCAGGGACTCCTCGTGCCCATGCTCTGGGGGCACATATGACTCCAGGGCGCTGGGATTGGGCACAGCCAACACTCTCTTCCTTTTGTAACTACTCATGTGGAGTCTGTCTGCAAAGTGTCTGCCCGCTTGATTTACAGTGTTTTCACATGGCCAAGTCATTGAGATGCCTTCAGACCCCGGATTCTTCTCTGAATGAATAATCGGCTCACAAATCAGGGTAACCCGGTTCGGGGAGGCCCGATCTAACACATTTGGGGGTGACCAGTCCATGGTTCCCACCGGTTCTGGCACCATTTGAGTTCTCTGTGTTCCCGTGCCTTGGGACCCAGTCCAGACTGTTTTTAGGGTGCGTATGTGGGTCTCTTTGCAGCCACTACTTGGAGGTTGGGTGAAGGGAGAATCAGGCTTGGTTGTGAAGGCTGGAGCATCTCCAACCCAGTCACCATGGATGGTGCCTCTCGCCTGTGGGTGGAGAAGGGAAGGCGGAGGAGGGAGTCTTTGCCTGTGGGGTCTCGTGAGGCTCCATGGGGCCTGGCCATGAATTCCCCAGGGTCTGCCGCCTCCAGGGTCCACCTTACTCCTCCCTCTCCCTCCGTTCCCCTGCTTGCCCCAGCTTCCTCCGTCCTCTGCCAGAGAGTCTGTTGTTTTATTCATGTCCAGCAAAATTGTGTGCCAAGTGAGATTAGGGGGCTCTGTTTTACCTTTTATCCAGCGACCTTGACGAGAATTCGATGCAAACGTGTGGGCAGCAGCCTGTGTGTCCGTTGTTGATGGAGGACGACACTGGGGACGGTGTTACTTCATTACGATAGTGCACATGCTTTGTTTATAGGAGAACTTTCCCTGGGAAGATGACGGTGCTGGAAGGAAGTCACTCTCCCTGGTTTATAGATGGGGCAATGAAAGCTGGCGCCCCTTCCAGTAAAGCCTGTCCAGAAATTCAGGTGTCACTCAGAGCTTTGTTGCTTTTTGTCACAGTCTAACATTAGATGGGGGCACATTTCCTTGAGGCCAACACCATGGTATGTGTGGTGGGAGCATCCATCTCCTGGTTACTCTGCTCTGGGGTGGTAGGTGGTGTCTAGACAACACAGAGCACACGTGGTGGGTTTGAGGCTGTGGACCTTCCTGAGCTCTGATTCCAGCAGGCCTCAAGATGCTTACGTTAACAGTTTCTGAGCCCCAGGTGTCTGTATCACAGAGAGCAGCTTGAAGGACGCTGTAGGGGTCCTTCTAGCTCCAGATGATCACGAGTAGGAGTCCGGCGGTGG